AAAAAAAAGGAAAATGTGAGGTGCGAGCTATGTTTAAATTCAGTGATCTTATGGTTTTTTCAATATGATACCATTACCAAACAAATGTTTTCTTGAAATATTTAACTATTACAATGTGAAAGGTTATTTTCTTGTCTTCTAGTAAGTCGTCAATGGTTTAGATTTATTATGCCAATTTTATGAAGCGAACTTTTAGAAGATTTGTGATTCAAGAATAAGAATAAGCCTTTCGTTATTAAACACTGAAAAACAAGCTTCATTAATTTTTCAAAAGTTAACGAGTTGAACAACCAAGATGATGTAGAAAAATTTTGTGGAAGTCAAATTATTCTACATAATTTGTAGGTAATTAAAACTATCATAATCGATGCAATACTAAATTAAACAAATATCTTCTTTTATAGTTTATTACTGAACCTCAAAACTAATTATAACAATGAAGACACGTTCATTCATAACATGTTGCATTGCTAAAAAAAATCTTTCATGATTCAATTTTTGAGTTAGTCTGATGAGTGTTTAAGTCTGAGCTTGTTGTATAGTTAGTTAAATCATATAATCTAATGCCTAGTTTAAATAAAAAGGCCAACGGTGAAAGCACTTCATCAAAAAGGCGACGTTGTAATAATAAAGAAAATTCACGAAGTAAAAAACCAGATTTTAAACTCTTAGTAAATATGAATAATGAGATTCTTTTCGGTGAAGTCAAATCGTTAAAATATAAAAATTCATCTTCATTGGTTTGTCAAAATCTTGTCAAGCTTGCAAATTTTCAATTCAGCACTTTGGATAAGTTAGTTAAAAAGTATAGAAATAGGATTAGAATGACATCTTTTGGAGTGTGAATTTGTGGCAATTGCTCAGACTTGGTTTGGCTTTTAGAATTTTCTTATACATTTGCTAACATTTAATTATGTTTATAGGAGTGCAAATTCGAATTTATCAAATGAACTTAGAATATGATAGGTTGTACTGGATATATCTGGTCATAGATGTAGTTCTACTCATTCAAAAATTCCAATTCGTAAGTTTAGTGCTGATATTGAAGGTATTGTATAATGTAAAAGTAAGATTTCAAAAATATCTGTTTATTATCTCAATGCAGATGTAACTCACTACCTATGTAATTTGAAGGATTCCATTTCTAAAGTTTTGGAGGTAATTACCTTAGACACTTCGCTTATTTCATCTCAGCTTCTAATGAAAAATAGGTTAAGATCATTTTCAATCTAAACTGATTATATAATACATACTCTGGATATAGCATATTCTAAAGATATAAAAAGATAAAGCTTTATTGTGATAAATTACTACAGTCAGACCTCTCTAAATGCACTCACTCTAGACCATAGGAAAAAAAATAAAAAGTGTGTACTTAGAGAGAGTATGTACTTATAGAGAGCAAAATTTATAGTGTTCTTATAAGTTGAGACCAGATTATGCTGTGCATTTAAAAAGAATTTACATAATCCATATACTTAGAGAGGTCTGACTGTACAACTACTCAAGATATATGTATCTGACATATTTGATTAGTTAAATGTTATGTGTATTAGAAATTTTCATATAAAAGTGAGTTTGTCATATCGCTAGACCTGTATGAATACATACTTTTAGGGTTTCGAGGTCTGTTAGTATCACAGAACTGAAATTTTCAATAAGTTTTAGTAAAGCTAATGTTATTAATTTGTTACTTGATACTGCATATCTTATATAAGTGTAATTGTGTTGGTATAGATACGTGAATTTTGCTATTGAAAAACAGTACCGATAATATTGAAGCCATCATTGTAGTGGATACTAAAAAAATTCATAGGTAAAGATAATAGGCATGTAAAAATAAAAAATGGCGAGCCAGCGACTCTCCTTCTTTATTATTGCTGGAACAACAATATACAGATAAAATTATTATTAATTATTATAAAATGCATCTATTGTGTTTTGCATCTATTATATGTTTTTATTATGTTTTTTAAATTTTCTAAATTTTTATAAGTTTTATTATAGAAATTTTTGACTTAAATTTTTTCATCTTAGGGTTAGTTTTTAAGTTAGTATTAGGGTTTAGGAAAGGTTTTCAGTAGCGTAGAATATTTTTACTTAGAACACCTTGTACTGGTTAATTAGCCAGTTTTTGAGATAATGTATGTATAGATGTAAAACACTATAAATATGTTTTAGTAAAATTCATTATTATTATATAATAAAAAAAATATAAATAAAAATATATATCTCTCTATTATATAATGTGTTTAATGTAATTTAACAATTTACTGTTATTAGATTTTGATTTCAAAGTTTTAATTTCAGTTATCTTTGTTCTATCTTGTTCTACTTCATATTTATCTAATTTTAAAAGAATAAAAAGATTTAATTATAACAATATTGTTTCATAAATATAATTATGCAGTATAAAGTTTTCTTACAAGTTTTAGTAATTTTCACAGATTTTGGTTTAGATATTGTCAGGTTATTAGAATAGTTAGTATTAGGAGCAGTAGTATTATTAATTATGAGGTAGTAGTATTATTAGTCATAGAGGTAGTATTATCATTTATTATGAAATTAGCATTAAAGTCTCTGAATTTAAAAAAAATAATCATATAGTAAAAGAGAAAATTGTAAAAAAAGATGATGAGAAAAAATATAAAGAAGAATTAGATTATAATAAAAGCTTATTTTGTTATACTAAGAAAGAAGCTTTACAAATTAAAAAAGAAATTTATAATCAAGTATATAATAAGTCTAATACTAAGCATATTATAATAAACTTAAACAAACCAAAAAAATAAATCAAAGAATAACTAAACTAGTATAAGAAAAAGTATAATATAAGAAAATTAGAATTTTAGGATAAATAAATATTTTAGAATTAATAAAAGAATATAATAATTTATTTATTTGAGAATTTTATAAATTTAAAAAAATTAAAATTATAATTTATTCTATTTATTTTTGAATCAGCTGAAATTAATATTGAACTATTAACAGATTCCGTCAAGCGAGACTTTTTAGAATTTACTTGATCGTTAAAAAGAAGATCATTGATGCGATTTCGAATTACTTTTCCTGTTTTCTTGGTTAGCACTCTATCAATAGAGCCCTGGTAAAGTAGGAAAGAATTTTAGGGCATACAAAGCTCAAATACAATACAACTGAACCTATTTTTGGCCAACCTTTTCCTTATCAAGAACAGAAGCATACGATGATTTAAAATAATCTTCGATAGCTTGCTTATATCTATTCTTTTTGTAATTTTAGTAGATATCAACAAGTTTGGAATCGTCTTCATAAACTTTGAGGAGTATGCTAAGAACTGAGTACCATTTCGAAACAGCTGTTTTCTTCGACGTGTAATTGAACCTTTTAAAAAACTCTACTGGTGTTGGATTGTCATTATTAATAAAAAAAATCACGTTTTTGCAGGTAACGAAGGTTGTAAAAATATTGAACTGGTGATTATCACCAGCACAAAATTAGCCAATAAATTTGTAGGATCAGGTGTAATGTGCAAAAAAAAGCCCATATCTTTGCGTATACTAGTACCTAGATAAAATCCTAGGCCTCGCCCTAACCCTAAAGTAAATGAAATAGGATTTTTTTTTTTTTGTTTATCGTTATTACTTTTCATATTACTGGTTTGTAAAAAATATTTTATAGTTACGCGTTCTATTATTAAATCATGTGATGCAATCACCAAGTACAAAGTTCCTGCCAAAATAAGCTTTTACTAAAGTAAAAAGTGATGATGAGTTAGTTTTCTGCAATCTCCAAATTTTGACAAGCTTTTATTAAGTAATTAAGTTTTGACGATTATCTTATTAAAGGGTTTCGGCTAGCATCCTTAGTCCTGTAAGATGTTGTTTGGCTCAGATTGGCAAAAACCGCGGTTATTCTTCATAAGGTTAGTTTGTGACCAGATTCTCTTACAGAAGACAATATATTACTGAGCGTTCAGAGGAACAACGGTTATCCCTCAGCTCTTGAAGTTGTGGCTCACGCTTGGTTGTCAAGAACTATATTGTGAGCGCGTCCCAATATTTCATGACAAGTTCTTTTTGATCTCTCATAAGTATTTAATGTTTCTCTAAACAGAATCATAATTTTCAGACCCCTTGTTAATAGTATTTTGTTTTGTTCTTTCAAATATTCAAGAAAGATTACTTTACCCTATATGCCAGGACATGAGCAGCGTTGGTCAAAAACTGCGGTTATTCTCAAGAAGGGCACCTG